AAGTCAAGATAATTATCGTCATCAGAAAGTTGGAGATAGCAAAAACTGCAGAAGCTGGAGTCAGAGACAACACTGTGTGGAGTTGCAGGAACACAGCAGATCAGGCAGCATCAGTTCTGAAGGGTCCTGACCCAAAACATTGACTTTCCTGCTCCTCTGATGCTGCCTGACCTGCTGTGTTCCTCTGGCTCCAAACTGTGTCATCATCAGCGGAGTGATTTTGAGGGATATGTTGGAGCTCTGAACTGACAAGTTTTCCAGTCCTGATGGACTTCATCTCTGGCTCTTAAAAGAAGTGGATAGTGAGATAATTGATGCATTAATATTAATTTTTCAAACCCCCACCCCCCCCACCCCCTCCGCAGTGAGAAGGTTCTGTTTGATTGAAAATGAACAGTAAATTTAACTCAGGAAACAAAACAGAAATTGCTGGAAAAGCTCAGCAGGTCTGGCAGCGTCTGTGAAGGAAAAAACAGAGTTAACATTTCGGGTCCGGTGACCCTTCTTCCAAACATTTGGAGGAAGGGTCACCGGACCCGGAACATTAACTCTGTTTTTTCTTTCACAGATGCTGCCAGACCTGCTGAGCTTTTCCAGTAATTTCTGTTTTGTTTCCTGATTTACAGCATCCGCAGTTCTTTTGTTTTTTATTATAGCAAATTTAACTCCTTGGTCATAGGAAAGAAATCAGAAACTATTATTATAAACATTATAGAAATTTTTAAAAATTCACTAACGGGATGAGGGCGTCACTGACCAGGCAGCATTTATTGCCCATCTAAGAGTCAACCACATTACTGCAGGTCTGGAATCACATGTAGGCCAGACCAGGTAAGGATGGTGGTTTCCTTCCCTGAAGCATATCAGTGAACCAGATGAGTTTTTCCAACAATCGACAATGAATTCATGGTCATCATTAGATTCTTAATTCCAGATATTTTTTAACTGAATTCAAATTCCACCATCTGCCGTGGTGGGATTCAAACCCTGGTCCCCAGAACGTTGTCTAGGTCTCTGGATTAACAGTCCGGTGATACTACCATTGGGCCATCGCCTCCCCTAATACACTTAGTTAAAGATAACCAGGCAGAATCAACATGGTTTTGTGAAAGAGAAATCATGCATGACCAAATTATTGTATGAAAAAGTGACATGTGCTATGGATAAAGGGAACCAATGGGTATACTGCAATTGGCTTTCCAGAGAGCAGTTAATAAGGTACCACATCAAAGGTTATTGGGGTAAATAAAAGCTCATGGTGTTCCACGTACCACATTGGCATGGATAGATAACTGGTCAGCTAAAAGAAAACAGAGAATGGACATAAGTAGGTATTTTTATCTCGGCAGGATGTAATGAGTGGTGAGCCACAGGAATCAGTTCTGGCCTGGGAGTTTTGTAATTTATATAATTTATTTGATATATATGGATGCTAAGTTTGCTGATTACAAAGAGATACTTAGAAATGAAAGTTGTGAAGAGTACATAAAGAGGCTGCAAAGGGACATTTGTTAGATTACATGAATGGGCAAAGATTTGACAAATGGAGAAAATGTTGGTCATATTGACCATTTTGGCAGGAAGAATAATAAAGAAATATATTATCTAAATGTTTAGAAGTTGCAGATCCCTCATTCTGAGATGCAGAGGGATCTAGATAACTGGTGCATGATTTGCAGGTACAGCAAGTAATTAGGAAACAGACATAATTTGGAACTGAAGATGATAAGTCATATTAGACTCAAAATGTTAACTCTGTTTATCTCTCCACAGATGCTGCTAGACATATTGAGTTTCTCTAGTACCTTCTCCTTTTATCCAAACTCTTCCAATCTCTCCACATAACTGAAGTCCCTCATCACTGGTATCATCCATGCCTTTATGACTCTGTAGCTTCGCAATTGTTCTGTTACATTGGTCATTCAACTATACCTACGTTGAGCTAAGTCCAGCTTATTTATATTTAGCAAGAAAAGCAATGATCCAAATACCGATGTCCTGAAGGACCCTTTTGAATACTTATTTTCAGTCCAGAAAAAGTATTTGTTCACCATTATTTTCTGCCTTCTATACTTTACAGGTAAAGTAGCCATAGTCCTACTGGACAGTCCTCTCATTGGAGAGAGATGATTGTTGGTGGTTTAACCTGAGGGTTACGACCAGTCATCACACAGATGAGAAGAGAGGTTGAGAGGGAGATTCCTTCATGGTAACTTCAGCCAATGTGGCATCTCTCTGTATCACAAACCAGCCGTCCAGCCAACTGTTCTAACTGACCTCCCCTCCAATGCATTAGCCAATTACTTACTCATGTTACCACAGTCGCTCTAATGCTAGTTGCCTTTTTGTTCATATATACATTTACTGCACCATCTTCCTCAAACCTCTCAGCTACTTCATTAAACAACTTAATCAATTTAGTCATTAAACAACTTAATTAATTTACCTTTAACAAATTGTTATTGTCTATTCCGTATCACATAATTCTTTTCCAATGGCTAAACTAAAACAATTCTGTCTGGGGCTTCCAATGGATTGTATTGCTTTTCCAGTGCCATTCTCCTAATATCAATGCAATCAACATAAAGGTTTGGGGGATTTTAACCCCAAACTGTGTTCAGCATTACTGGAATGTTTGTTAGTTTCAAACACATTATGGAAGGAACAGATTCCAACTATAAAACTGACCACAAACCCTGAATTAGTCACCTTGGGAATTTCTCCTAATTGCATTCATTTTCAAAGGAGGCTTCAAAAATTAGGCCAGAACTTGTGAGATCAAGGGCTATAAACATTCGGAAAGATTTTTGATTTTTTTTTCGTTTACTAATGTACTAATTGCTGCATCCCAAACTAACTAGAGAATAGCTTATACATCTTTCACAAGCCATTTTCAGTGCTTTAAAATTGGGTTACACATGGGTGGAAGATTGATATTGTGCATTAATTCACCCTCTTTTTCTGATAAACACATTGTCAGTTGAATAAATGAAACTTCACAAAGTTATCATTTTTAGTTCCTATTAAGATTCAAGTTAATTTGTTATGGTTTGATACAAAAGCAAAACATGCTGGGAATACACAGTAGGTGCTTTAATATCTACTGAGAGAAATGACAGGTTGTGATGATTCATATTTATTTTTATTTATACCCGGTTTCTGCTGTATGGTAATGAGGTTGTATTTTGTCAATTGCCAGCAACTCCTGAGATTAGAGCTAAAAGCAGGTGGCAATGTAGTCAGCTACAGTGGCCAGCATCCACGGCATGGCATATTGTTGGCAGCCAACTAACAAACCACCAGCAAATGCCCAATCAGCAGCGCCATTGTTAATACTGACCACTATTGGCAGCAACTTCAGGGGAGAGAGGTTATGGCCTCTTAGTGGGAAGAGGACCAGGCAGCCAAGCACTGGTTATCACTCAGTTGTTGAGCAGCAGTGGTGGTGTCATTTCCACAAGTGTGACTATTACCAGCAGGAAGCCCTCGATGTGTCATGATGCTATGGAGTACCCATAAAGAATAGCCCATCACTGTAGTCCACTCAAAGGCCAAGAGGCAGCCATTTATTGGCTATCTGTGTGGTTCAACTGGTGTCCCAGTGTGTGTCCAAACAGCATCTCTCTTGCCACTGGCAATATAATATGGTTATGGGCTCATGTAAAATGTTGGACTTCCCTTCTCTCCTTATTTTGTCAGCCTTTTTACGACTGAGCCCTTCCCCACTGTGCCCAGAAAATTACACTCAACTGGTCTCAACCATATTTGCCATATAGTCTTGGTGTTACTACTCTTGATGAACTATAATTTTTGATTGAAACATGTTTTAAAATTGCAATGTTATCATTCCAATGCTGTAATGTGGTGTTATGAACAAAATTCCTTGAGGCTTCAGAGCATTACTGTCATTAAAGGAGGGTGGCATAGTTTAATGCTGCGCACTTATTGTTGATATTAGATTGCTGGATGCCAAGTGCAGTGCAATATATATTCAAGGTTGCTAGGAGATTTGTAGTTGCTAGGAGTTCCAACTGTACACAGAAAAAAATCATTTAAGACTTAGAAATTAAATTTAATTAACTAAATTTTTTGATGCTCCCCTTTTACTTTTAACTTTGCCTTTCTCCCTGCCACTGCTGTTAACTATGGCTCTTAGAAGCCAGTGTTAATTGTTCTGCTGCTTTATTTATGCCCAGTTTCATTCGTGACACCAAAAGATTGTTGGAGAGAGAAAAAAGGGACGCAAGGGATCAGCCAGCACAGAGGTTGTTGTGTCTACATAACAGTCTTGTTACATCTGAATTGAATGACATCTGAATTGAGTCACATGTCAGCAGGTTATAGTCCAACAGGTTTATTTGAAGACGCAAGCTTTTGGAGCCTCACTCCTTCTTCAGGAGTGAGACTCCAAAAGCTTTTGCCTTCAGATAAACCTGTTGGACTATAACGTCATGCTGTGTGATTTTTGACTTTGTCCACCCCAGTCCAACACCGGCACCTCCACATCTTGAACGACAGAGGTACACATACTTCATAAAGGCAAAAGACTACTTCATGCAATATCAGGATTCTGCCCTTTGAGTGGTAAGCAGTTGGAACACTTCTAAAAGTAGATGGACATTGTGTTGAATAACATTAAATAAAAAGTACAGGCCCTGAAATTCCAGAGTAGTTCAATTAGTCCCTCCCCCTGGGAACCTGGGGCCAAACTTTTTAACATTGGCAAAACTTACAGTACTGGTTCCTGCTGTCATAATCAGAATTGTATAATGAGCAGTTTTATACATTGCATGAATCCTGAAGAAAGTGCAAAATATTCCATTCTTTATGCTGCCACTCATGTTTCTCAAAGGTTAAGATCTCCTGAAATGTTTTTCACACCAGCTTAGATTTTGAAACAGGTACAGATGTTTTATAACAAAACCACACAGGCTGGAACAGAGGGTTTTGATGCAAGGCTCCCCTGTTTGCTAATAGATAAATTTTGGACATCGACTTACCGTATGACAATGAGTTCTACCCAGACTCGAATGAAAGCTGGTAGTGGACCGAAGGCTTCCAGGATGTATGTGTAATGAGCACCTGATTTCTTTATACTTGTTCCAAGTTCAGCATAGCAGAGCGCTCCTATCAATAGAAGAGAACAATGCAGGAAAAATAAATAATTTCTCAAAAGATTCTTCTGTACACATCAATAAATAAACCAACTATCATGTCTGCCATGTACCGATCTCACATGATGCAAAGTGATCATGAAAAGAAATCTAGTTGGTTTCCCTCCCCACTCTTTGAACCAGCCATTTCCAGCTGGCCTTCCTGACCTTGTAATTGGGGCAGGGGAAGAGGTGAGATTATATTGAAACAGTGGGCGGAGATGGCTCATAATTTATTTACATCCAAACTAGAAAAAAGACTCAAGTCTGCCACAAACAATCAGGATGTGCCAGGAAATAGCCGTGCCACTCTTGGATGTGTCAATACAGTGTGGAGTTGGAGGAACACAGCAGGTCAGGCAGCATCAGAGGAGCAGGAAAGTTGACATTTTGGGTTTACACCCTTCATCAGGATTGACTCTAACTCCAGCACCTGCAGTTCTTGCTATCTCTGAGTGAATCAGAACACTTGGATGTGTGCCTACTCATAGCAACAGAATTGTTTGCTTTAAAATGACAACCCTGGTTACACCTAATATTAAGTTGGTAAGAAAACAACACATCCTATGTTACCTGGTCTAACGGCCCTTTGTTTATAAAGCATTGTGGTCCAGATATTGAACAGTTTCTCACTTTAACTCCAATGGGAGATGAATGGAACCCTCTGGGAAGTAATGACAAATCTTAATTGCATGTAGAACATCTCCCAAAAGATTGTCAGGCGTTGTATCATCAGTCTTAGAATAAGCAATAGCATGGGATATCTACGTGAATGCGTACAAGAAAGTTATTCAAATTTCTCCGTTGGGCTTTCTCTATAAGACAAAGCTCGCTGATTTCTTCTGACTTCTTATTGTCCCATACCTAACATCTGAACTGGCCTGTGTGTGGCAATATGACTTTGCAACAGAAGGGAACACGCTAGACTGCAAAAAACAAATTACACATGGGCCTATATAATGAGCTGATTCTTCCCATTTTTCCACAAAGTGCTATTTTCAGTAAGATTCATGTTGGCTGCCCCAGCATGGTCCATTTTAACTTTTCTCAAACAATTGTCTGCTTTTCAGCTCATGAACTATACAGCTGGCCTCTGCAGCAAGTAAGACAAAAGTGCTCACCTCTGCTGGGAATTTGTAATGTTTATGTCGTTGGTGCTACTTTTAAAACTCAGCTCCGTACCACCTCATGCACTTCAAAGAAGAAACTGGCCTTTTCACACACCACTGCTCCACTATTGCAATTAATACCTGTAGTCCAGAAGGAAAACCTGGTATCCTGTTTCTCGAACAACAACATGGAGGTCAGCAGAAAGGTCTCTAGACTGCCAAAGGAGGTGATGCCACCAGACACAGCCAGCCTGGGTAGATATAACAAATGGTCTCCAAGGTGAAAAGAAACACCCAGCAGTGCCAGAAGAAGAGTAAAAACCTTCTCCAGTTTACCAGGGTAAGTGCCACCATCTTACGTCTGCTAACTTATGCTCACTGGGGTGCCACTACTCTAACTCTGCCACTTCACACACCCCATCACCCAGGCTCACTGGTTACAACACTTGCTATTGCAAGCAGCATGTCCACTCAACACATCTCAACCACCTCCTCTTGCAAATTATTAACCCTCTGCATTTCCTACTCACGTACTGAGCCCACCTCACCACCCCTCCTGCTCCCCATCAACACTAACCACTCTTCCATCTACTCAACCCCTTCCCTTTGTCTTAGTGCAGGAAAACATCTCTAAATATCAGTTGCAGTTTAGCAGACAGGAGGCTCCTAACCCCATATGAGGAAGAGATGCTGGAATTGGCCAGGGCATGGCGTTGGGGGGGGTGCCAAGACCTCTGTCCAGCCAACTTTGTTTTGTTGTGTTGGACTGCATTGCTCTCCCATTAACGGCAGTGATAACACATCTTTCTGGAGCAATTTTTTATCCCTTTTCCACAATTAATTCTCTCTCTTCTTTTATGCAGGTTCTAGTGGGTCCCAGTGCCCTCGAATGACAAGGAAGGCACTGCTGGAGACACTGAGCATAATCTTAATCTTTGTGACTTCCAGTCACATTTGTGCACCAAGGATTTACAGAAGTCACACAGGTTCCCCGCTGCTCCTTGGAATAAGCCACGAGCATAAAAAATTCAGTGCATCTGTGATCTTGCCAGGCACTGAGATGGGAGGGCCACCAATTCCGTTGAAGCACGGAGTCCTGCTCCAACAGATGATATGGTTTGGTTATGATGTCCCCAGCCACCCTAGTCTGCATTGTAATTCCAACAGCTGTAGAAAATGGCACTGAGGCTGGTAGACTCAGAAACCGGTCATTTTCATCTGCCTACTTGACATCTTTAGCTGCTGCTTCTCTGTCTGGAGGTTGCACGGCAACTACAATAGCTTCCTGTTGTACCTGGGTTGGTGACAACCTTTCAATTACTGTCTTCACTGATGACCCCATGAGTGACCCTCTGGACAGCACCCCAACCTTTGTATCTGTGACCCCATACTGGCAGCTTTACACCTGCAAAACTGTCTGTGGCCCAAACTCCAGACAGCAAGACTTTGATGCTTGAATTGTGCTTGGACCAAGTAACTGACTAACCCCTACACTAAGATTGAATGATTCCCTTAAATGAGTATGGTGGCACCCCCTAAATCAGCACAGTCTCCCTTCACTACACTCAGGAATGATCCCATTTAACTTTCAGAAATGGCCATTAGCTTGAAGTGTGTTTGCCTGCAAACAGCTGGCACATGTTGTAGGCGTGAGATTGATATAGCTTCGTGCTGTACAGCAACATGTTTACCCCCTTGACTGCAAATCTCTTCATCTGTGCTAAGCACCAACACAATCCAAAGAGGCCAGTCAGCACAATGTGAGTGAGAGTTAAAGAAACAAGCTAAGAAGCAGAAGAGACATCCTATGTAGATGCACGACATACGTGTGTGTCCCTGTGGACAAAGCACTCTGGCAGAAGTGCGCTGGTTGTAGATGTCCCTGAGTTCCAAAGTGAAGTTCCGAAGTGGTAAGTGAGTGGGTCTGAAAGCAACCATGGTGATGTGGTGAGGCTGGTGGTTGCCCAGTTGCAGGGAGGAAGTATAGAAAAGGACAGTGTCCAAGAAGCATGCATGGAAATGGTGGTGATGCTGGAGGCCAGATGTAGGCCCAGAAAAGCAAAGGATGAGCTGTGGAACCATACAACTGCTTCGCCTTAATGTTGGGAATTGGCATCATCTAGTTTTTCAGGAAAGGAGGGGAGTTTGGGGAGCTGCATCGAAATGAATCAAGATTAGCTAATAATAAGATGCAAATGCATGGAAATAAGGTGGTGCTGTTCGATAGTGAGATTCAGAACTCACCACTAAAAACTTAAGGGGAAAATCTGAATTTTTTTGATATTGGGACTCTGATTTTTTTAATTCTCCATATATTTTCCCAACTGTCTTGGCATTGCCCACACAACTCAGGGTCTGGCCAAAGTTTTTCATATTCTCAAGATTACCCAAAGTGTCTCAACACCAATGTATTACTTTCAATATTTAGTTACTGTTATTTGTACACAGATAGGGCAATAGCAGTGGGATGTACAAACTGTTCATCTATTTCAGGGGTAAAAGCCAGCCAAATGTTCAGAGAAGTCTCTGCTCTTCTTTTTAAAGGTGGCTTGGAAGCCATCACGCCCACCTAAACAGGCTGTTTGAAACTCCAAGCAGGTCAGAGGCTAGAAATCCTACAGCGAGCAACTCCCCTCCTGACTCCCCAAAGCCTGTCCACCATCTACAAGGCACAAGTCAGGAGTGTGATGGAATACTCTCCATTTGCCTGGATGTGCAAAATCCAGGATCTCCAACAACACTCAAGAAGCTTGACACCATCCAGAACAAAGCAGCCTGCTTGATTGGTACTGCATCCACAAGCATCCACTCCCTCCGCCACTGACGCTCAGTAGCAACAGTGCATACAATGTACAAAACATACTGCAGAAATTCAGCAACAAACCTTTGACAGCACATTCTAACTAAAAGAACAAAGGCAGCAGACACATGGGATAACCATTACCTGCAAGTTCTCCTCCAAGTCACTCACCATCCTGATTTAGAAACATATTTCTGTTCCTTCAGAGTCGGATCATAATTCTGGAATTCCCTCCGCCAGGGCATTGTGTGTCTACCTGCAACATGTGGATTGTGGTGGTTCAAGAAGGCAGCCTACCTTCACAAAGGCAACTAGGGATGGATAATAAACGCTGACGCAGCCAGCAATGCCCATATCCAACAAGTGGATTCTAAACAAAAGGCTTCTAATCCATCATCCAGTCAATATTTTACTGAAGTTTCAGCATAGATTCTGAGCTTATATTCTAAGTAGGGCTTAGACTCACAAACTATGGAGTCAGCAGAAAGAATACTACCAGTGTATCAGTCTAGTCCTAATTAAACTGTTCACCAAGGGATGGTGTAAGGTTTGTGGCACTAAGCATACTAAGCTAAGAAGCTTCCAAGTTTAATATTCTGTCCACAATGAGTTCTCTGATATCAAATTAAGTGTTGGTGGCAATGGGTTGACAATTATCTTCTGTGTCCTGATTGAGATAGTGGGCAAAAATCAACAAGGTTTTGCTGTCTTGGTTATTAACTAGTGACTGCTACTGAAAACAAAACACATGCACATGGTCTTTGCTGAAAACAAGACTGACAATGAGTTAAATTCCTCCCGCTCCAAGCAAAATCAAAGGGTCTGTGGATAATTACAAATAACCAGTTGAGATTCCTGAATCTGTACTTAGCAAGAGATGCAAAGTCAAGGAAGGGAGATAAAGGGAAGAAAAATAATTTCATCAACCTTGTATGAACACATCTGATAGCTTGAAAGGTAATTCTTAAAAGTTTACATTTAGATTTTGTTTGTTCCTCTTATATTGTTATATTATTCTGAAAGAATTAGGAACAAATTGTTATGTGAGTGTACATCCAGATGCCA